TTGCGTCGTTGTACGGGGTTAACCGCCCTTTCCAGTCGCCTTCCGGCTGCTCATAGACAGCACCTGCCTACCTCCATAGCAGACAGGGCTACCAGGGCGATCACATCCCAGGGGTCCTGTTCGCAGCCTGTCGGGGCTTGGACCAACCGCAGCTGCTTCCAGGTGATGCCGCCTGTCGCGGCCTCCTGGGAGGGCTGTAGGTGTCGGTCAATTTGCTCCCGGACAGCTTGTGCGACAGGGCACTCCCAGAAGTGGTGCATGCATTGGGAGCATTGCTGGTTGCTGGCATTGCCGAACCTTCCACACCCACATCGCTCGGGTACCATGCGGGTTAGGTATCTGTTGCCGGGCAGGGGGGTGCCATCCACAGCAAGCCGCCACAGCGTTTCTTTGTTCTCCCACCGCACCCCCGACCACAAGCGGGCTTGCGTCGCCCTGAAGCGGCTTGTTTCCGCTGAGGAGGAAGGTGCCGTTTCCTGCGGGTCCAACGCTTCTTGCACAAATGCTGCCATCAAGCGTCCCCGTTTCTCCTCCGTGGCCCCGCATTGCAGCTGTGTCACTAGGCGGACCGTCAGGCGGTGAGTGAGACGGTTGTTGTGCCGCCCGGTATCTGCCATCCGACCCGCTTTAGGATCATAGCCATCGCCTGAGTGCTATTGGGGGTGCTTGGAGCCGTCATGTCCCCCGCCGTTGGCATCTCTGGCTGCTGCTGTTGGGGTTGCTGCTCATGCGGCTGCGTCTGTAGCTGTGGCTGCGGCTGTTGCTGCTGTTGCAGCTGCGGCTGCAGCTGATGCTGTGTCTGTAGCTGTGGTTGTGTTTGCAGCTGTTGTGGCTGTACCTGCGGCTGTGGCTGCGGCTGTGGCTGCGGCTGTGGCTGCGGCTGTGGCTGTGACTGCGGCTGTGGCTGTGGCTGCGGCTGTGGCTGCGGCTGTGGCTGCAGCTGTGCCTGCGGCTGGGGTTGCTGTTGCTGTTGGGTTTCCACTGCTCTTGCAGCTTCGAGCCAGGCCGGGTTGATAGCGCCAGGTAGTAGTATGTATGTATGTATGTATGTATGTATGTATGTATGTATGTATGTATGTATGTATGTATGTATGTATGTATGTATGTATGTATGTATGTATGCAGGGTTTAGGGTTTTAGGGTTTAGGGTTTTACACTTAGGGTTTACACTGTGGGCTGAAAAGCCGGGGGCCCAGGGCCGAAGCACAGCGCGAGGGGCGGGTGCATACGGCTGGTTAGTCTCATGCACTCCGCCCCCGGGTCAGGCCGCACGGGAAACGACGGCCGGCACGCAACAGCGCTCGTTTGGCGCTCCAACTAGACGGGATCTATGCCCGTTGGTCTCCTAACATAAACGAAGTCGCAACTGGGGGGCTCTTCCTGCCGACCGAACGAACCGAGCATCTCAGAGAGCTCGCAACCAGGACCTGGGCGACCGGGAGCCCGACGAGTCATCCCGGGCTGGGGAGGTCACCAAGCTCAAAAATCCTCACGCAAAAAAAAAGAGCGCAAAGAGCTCACACCACAAGACGCCAAACAGCCTCCTGAGACTACTACCCTCCTCCGCCTCTCCCTCCCTGGGCTAGTCCAGGGGAGATAGCCCCCGTCGGGGGGGTAACACCGCACAAGTCCGCGCCCTTCCACAGCACTGGGTCTAACTTGAAAAGTACTCAAACGGGAAGACCCTGCGGCAACGCAGGGTGATCAAGCCTCCGGAAACCACAGGGGGGGAGGGTAGCCAGCTCGGCGCCCCCCCAATACCGCTCTACCAAGACGGCTGGTTCCCAAGATCCTATCTCACCTAGACGCCGCAACACGAAA